CACAGGTGGGTGCACAGCACCCCCTACCCAGGGCCCAACCCCTCCACCAGCAGGTCGTCCCCGGTGCTCCTCACCACCTTACTATTTTAAGGCACTTGTGGGCCATCTGTACAAGGAGCTCTTCTCTTAAAAGAACCTACCAAAGGAGAACCTGAACCACACAAAATCAAGACCATCGGTCAAACCTTTACGAATGAATTTTACCCGCCTCCAATGACAAGTCCTCTGCTGTTCCCACTAGCCCTGCGTCTCTCTCAGGCTACAGAGTTACACAAGGTCAGTAATTCCATCAAAGGACTCCACTTGACTTGAAGTATACTAGCAAGTAAGGTTCCATTCATTTGCTAGGTGTGGGACAGAGTGCCCATTCTAGATAAACTGTCACCAGCAATACAAGTAATGAGGAGGCCCCAATCACAGGACTACCCCAAGTAGCACAGTCAAGTTCAAACCAACGTCTGACACCAAAGCCCACACCTTAACCACCACTGGGTGTGACCTCAATGCCAGTCCCCAATTTGCTACTGACTCTTTAGAAACAGGGAACCATCAAAGCCAAGCAAAGCAGCTAGCTAGTCAAGGACATCTGAAAAGAACCTTCCGATCCTGAAGGTCTTTGATCCTGCTCTCTACTCTCCTGGGGCTTACAATAAGATCAACATTAGTGGACCCTGACTGACAGTATGCAAGACACAGGGAGAGATGATAAGGACCCATCCTTGACCGAACTGGAGTCAAGTCCCTCTGAGCCCCCTTCTCACTAGGTCTTGGCCTGGTGAGCTCAGTTTAGCAAGAATCAAAGCCCCCCTTTGATATCCAATCAAGTCCCACTTAGTAATTTTCCGTCCACTGACCCCGTCCACCTATAAATCCTAGCTATCCTTACTGTATTCTGAGTTGAGCTCAGATCTACACTCAAGCACCTGTCCCTAATAAAACTGCTGGAATAAAACCTGTCTTGCTGTTTTTAACAAGCGTGTAGTGCCAAGTTCTAACATAGGACACACAGCTACTAACTCACAGGAGAAGCTTCCATCTCTAGGGAATTGTCTATCTGTACAATGATAGTAGAACTAAATTATTTAGGGCAGATTCAGCTCTCAAACCTTTAAACTTCCTGTCTGAAGACTGAGATTGAAACAAATCCAACTGGATCGTATCTTAAATCTCAATTGAAAACTGTATCTTATTCAGGGTAATCAATATTTTTCCTATACGGAAAATTTCTGAGTCCATGGCAAACTGAATTCTAGATTAGAGTACGTCCTTCAAGGTTACCTAATTCTGACTCTATAGAACTTTTTCTTCACATCTCTGTAAACTGGATTAACAGCAATGCAAACAATTCTTTTTTTTAATGTTTATTTTGAGAGAAGAAACTTGCCTGGCGGGGAAGGAGGGAGGAAGGAAGACTTTAAGAATCTGAAGCAGGATCCAGGCTCTGAGCTGTTAGTACAGAGCCTGATGCAGGGCTCCAACTCATGAGCCGTGAGATCACGACCTGAGCCAAAGTCAGCCCCTTAACTGACTGAGCCACCCAGGCACCCCAAACAATTTTTATCTAAAGATATACAAATGAGGGGCGCCTGGGTGGCGCCAATCCCTTCAGCCAGGTCACGCGATCTACATGATCCGTGTGCAGCCGAGACATCGGAAAGCTCTGGAGCTCAGAGCCTGGGCTCCCACTGCCTCCCAGATAATGCTGTGTCTCTCTCTGTCCCAAAAATAAATAAACGTTGAAAAAAAAAAAATTAAAAAAAAAAAAATAAATAAAGATATACAAATGAATTCTATCAAGCTGAGGTTCAGTTGATTTCTGGTTGTAGAAAGAAGCCAGTTTTGCCTGCCATTTGCATATTTATTTCATTATTTCTGATCTACAAATATATCCATACCATGGAGTCGCCTTTGAACTGGTTGTAACCACCACACTAAGTTTCCTCAATGTAAGTTAAATGTAATCTTTACTACTTGCTCACCCTTGTATCTATAGAGTGATGACTTTGCCTTTTTAAAAATTATTTTTTAACATTACAAAAAGTCTGAGCAATTGAAACATTTCAAAATGGACAGTCAATAAACACTTTTAAAATCTCCTAACGGTTAGAATAATTTTGGAATTTAGCAAAGTAAAATTTGCCCAATGGTTAAGTTTATCCAAATTTTTATTTTCACGGCTATCTGACACTTGAATTCCTTTTACCAAAATTACTATTTTTGAAACCTGATATCAGTTTAGTTTGTAGAATTTTACCAAAATGACTGAAAGACCTTTACAGTTAGATGTTAATTCTTAACTTAAATTTTGTTAATTTATACTTCAAGAAATTGAAGGGTAGGGGCACCTGGCTGGTTCATTCAGTTAAGTGTCTGACTCTTAGTTTCGGCTCAGGTCATGATCTTTCGGTTCATGAGTTCAAGCCCCGCATTGCGTTCTGCACTGGCAGTGGGGAGGCTGCTTGGGATTCTCTCTATCTTCCCCCTACCTTGCTTGCTCTCTCTCTTTCTCTTTCTCTCTCTCAAATAAATAAACTGTAAAAAAAGAAACTGAAGGGTAAACATTAAATTACAGAAATGTACAAAGTATAATGTAAAACAACTGTTAACTTATCATTAAGCCCATGAACTGTTAATATTTTGCAAATCTGTGAAGAGTCTTTCCCCATAAAACCAATAAAATGTTACAGATGAAATTTGTTTCCATATCTTGTTCTATTCTTCCCACACCACAAGATAACCACAATCGTAAGTTAGCATTTTTTTTCATTCACTTTATTATACCTTTAAAAACACATATGTGTGCTTTATAAACATTCCCTTCTAAAGGACTTTTAGGCAGTTTCAAAACATTATCACTATAAACAAAGTTGCAATAAACATCCTAATACTCCTCTCCTTGCATACAAATGTATATTTCTTTAGGCTACTTTCTAGAAGTGGAACCACTAGGTCTTCAGGTATACTCATTTCGCTAGTAGCTATACTGTTCTAAGATACCCTTCTATCACTAGTGAATCTTTCCCTCAAATACCTATCATTTCTTTTTTTTTTAAATACCTATCATTTCTTAACTGCACTGAACTTTATAATTCCTAATCTGATGGACATAAAGTGATCTCATTATAGGTTTAATTTGCATTTTCTGGATTACAAGAAAATTTAAGTGTTATCATCAGCTTACCCTTTCAGATTTCAACATCTTTGATACATGTGACAATTTCCCCATCATTAACTGGGATGTGAATTATGGTCTACAAAGCAACTTCTGCAGTTAAAAAAAGAAGTGCTGGGTGGTTCTTCTCGAGATAGTGTATAGGTTGGAAAACTCAAGAAACAGCATTCACTTCAATATACTTTTACTGAACAATATTGGGTATGGTGTATTTCACCTCCTTAACAGTTCAGAACGTTTTCTCTTTTCTTCTCCTTCCCAACTGCAACTGTTTTTCAAAAAGCCTCACCAATTCTCCTGGGAATTACTGCCTGTGCTCCCTGCTGTGACCTCTCTCCAATATTTTTCCACACTACAGACTACCTAACGTACACATCTACTGAATTCAGCTTCCCAAGCTTCCAGAACAAGATCTAAACCTCTTACAGCAGCACAGGACGCCTTGCAGGATATACCGCTATCTTCTCATGAAACAGAGCTCATGAAATCCACCACCCACATGAGATCCCTTGTTCCAACCAGGTTTCAAGATTCGAGTCCAAAATCCTTGCTCTCTCTATGCCTTCACCCACTGTTTTCCAGGTGAAACGTTCTTCTCCATCACACTAGCTCTTGCGCATCCCTCAAACTAAGTTCTACCTCTTCCCACAAATCTAGATTTGGGCTAGATTTGCCAATGGGCTGCCCCTGGGCAAACCCTTTTAACACCGGACTGGTTCTCTATAGGCTGCCTCTCCCCTTTACAAATGCCCCCTGCTCAAAGAGCTTAGTAAGGCTCAATAAACGTTTGCTAACTAATGGAACCCTACAGTAAAAGAGCTGAGCTACGCCACTCACCACTTACACAGTGCAAGTCTCAAACCCCAGGCATTTATTTGCATCTATAAAACGAAGCACGTGGTAAAAGTTCCTTTTTCCAACTCCCGGATCCTACAATTCTTGGCCTGGAATGACCCATGTCGGTACAACCTCACCTCTAATAGGGGCAGGGGACCAAACCAAGCTTTCACCTTCATGCTTGAAGTGAATCATCCTATGAGTCCCACCAGCTCAAGCCTCTGGGAACTAGGGCACCTCTAACTTCTGGGAAGGGATGTTTTTACACGTTCGGGTATTTCTGTTGTGGTAGTTAAGTGGGTGGAAATGGATGCAACCCTCCGCATTAAAAACTCCAAGAAGCTGGGGCGCCTGGGTGGCCCAGTCGGTTCAGTGTCCGACTTCGGCTCAGGTCACGATCTCACCGTTGGTGAGTTCCAGCCGCCCTCCGGCTGGGTGCTGACTGGAGGCAGGCCTGCTGAGATCCATTCTCCCTCTCTCACGGCCCCTTCCCCGCTCGTGCGCGCTCGCTCAATCTCTCTCAAAAAATAAACATTTAAAAAAAAAAAAAAAAAAAAAAGGGCAGCAAGAAGCTGAACTGCTCCCAGATCCTGAAGGTCGGAACCAAGCCCTAGACCCTGCCCGGCACGCCCTGCCTGTGGGACCAGAGCAAAATACTCTCTCCGCGCGCCCGCTTCTCCCTGCGCCTGGGAAGAGCCTGGGCTTCCAGCCAGAGCTCGCGCAACAGAGGACCCCCATCAGCCCACGACCACCCTCCGGAGGGCGGGCTGAGAGGTCGCCGCATTTCCCTTGGGATTCACCGCTTCCCGAAATCCTCTTTCCCGGGGTGAGAAAAGGATTACTCAAAAAGGGTCGGGGAAATTGAAAATCGCGGCCGTGAGACCCAGAGCCGCGGCAGAGAAGCAACCCTGACCCGGGACGTGAGCAGAGAAGCAACCCTGGCCCGGGACGTGCGGCCTAGCCCGGGTCCCCGGATGGGGCTTGTAATTACCTGCAGCAGACCGACCGCGGAGGCGGCGGCAGCGGCGGGCGGCAGGACCGTGGGAACTCCTCGCGGCGCGCAGCCTCAGACGAGCCACCTCGTGATGTCCGCCCTGCAGTGATTGCGGAGCAACGTCCGGCTCCAGACTTTAATGGCCAGCCGCGCTGCGGTGATTGGTGGAACTTCGGGGTGGGCGTCTGAGAAAGCCAATGGAAGGCGGGGCGAGGCGGGGCCGGCAAACCAAAGGGACTACAAGTCCCAGCATGCACCGGCCGGGGCTTCTAAGCCAGGGTCTCACTAAGCCTGGGGAACAGGGTTAGCAACGAAGTAGGGTTGGGGGGTCCCGGGGTGCGCGGGACCTCCTGGTGATGCAGTAATTCCAGAAGTGTCCACCAAAGGATCAAAACCAGCGCGCGGAGCACTTTAACCCAGTGGCTTCCAAACTCGTCGCACTTTGGAATCATCTAGGGAAGTTTCAAAAGTACTGAATGGCCCTGTGTCACCCCAGACATGTTGTGAGTTCGTGGTCTGCACTTGTCCTGGGTTTTGGAATCTTTAAAGATCCCCCGGAGATTCGGATATGCAGATCCGTTTAATCCTCGAGACAACCCTATGAGCGATAGGCACTGTTATTGTGGCCCTGGCTTTGCAGGTAGGACGACTGAGGGAGGTTCGGTCACTCACGGAAGGTAAGTTAATCTTGTGATCACATAGCTGTGAAGTGGTGGGGCCAGAACTCACACCCAGGCAGTCTAAGTTCCAGAATCCTATCCTCTTAATCCCTATGCAATGCTGTTTCTCAAATGTTTGGTATTATCTCACAAGGAAATGGGAAAAAGAAGAAATACTATGCGTGCCAGTGCCATGTGGCACAGTAAATTGAACTGAATGGAACTGATGTGAGGGAATAAGTGCAATCCTACCGAAGGACATCAAGTGTAAGATCTAGGGCCACACTCATGGGTTGCCTCATTTGATCTTATTTTTTAATCTTTTCTTACTGTAAGTCCTGTGTCAGCAGGCCCTGGGCCTGCTCCCTATTTTTGTAAATAAAGGTCTGTGAGAACAGAGCCACTCCTACTGGCTTAGCTATTATCTCTGGCTGGTCTTGCAAACACTGCAGAGTTGAGTAGTTGCACAAGAGACCATGTGCCCCACAAAATCAAAAATATTTGCCGTCTGACCATTGACGGAAAAAGTGTGCCAACCCTGAGTTAAGTACTCCTCCACACTCATAGCTTCAAAGTGACCATGATCTTTAAGCCCAGCTCTGTCCAAGTCCAAAACCAATTCTCATGACCGCTATGCTTTCACGGTCTTCCTCCGAGGGGAGTGTTGGGAGGTCATTCAGTCATTTATTCAAGGGCACATTTCGTGGATTTCCCTTATGTGCCAAGTGTAGCTGAGCCTTGAGAGAAATGGGAGTCTGTTCCTTCCCCCTTGGAAATTCACTGTCTAGTAAAAGAGGAAGAGCGTGTCCTCAACCACTCCCTCAAGTCACCCAGAATAAATGGTGACATTTGGCTGGTTAGGTTTTCACAGGTGAAAGGGAAAAGAAGTGGTGGCCTGATGCCAGACATGTTTAGGCAAATGAGGGGCCAGGGAGAGTCCCTTCCGTCTCCCTCAGCAACTCTGAGCTCAGAGTGTGGGACAAGAGAAGATGGCTGAAAGTTGAGGGAGGACTGATGAGCTGCTGGGGTTTGCCATGGTAATGGCCGGGCGAACCTCAGAAGAGACTGCAAGGCGGCCAGCTTAGCCCAGTCGCAATGAAGAGGCTGAGAGGAGAGGGGCCTGGAGTGAGAACCGGGTTCACGCTCTGCCGTCCAGCTACCTGGATTCCAATCCCAACTCCAGCACTTACGAGCCGTGTGACATGAGCTAAAGTTACTTAGCTTCTCAGTGCCTGGGTTTCCTCAACTGTAAAATGAAAGAACAGCACCTACTTTGTAAGGTCTCTTTGTAAATTACATGCCCCACGAATATTAGCTCCCCCCCCCCCCCCCCCCCCCCCCCCGCCCCGGGTGAAGAGCATGATGAGAACAAGATGGGAAACTCTGACCTTGGGCACCGCGTGTGCTCTGATACCTGTATGTGCATTAGCGGATGGTGTGGGAAGGGCAGCACCAGTGGGGTGCACCAGGAGGGAAGAGGGAGGCACAAAACAATTCCAGGGTGGCAGGAGGGTGGCAGGCTTCCTGTAAACATATAGGCATGGGGACACCCCCTCAAATGTCCCCAGAAGAATTCTCACAAGGAAAGTCACAGTGTGAAACTCAGGGCTTAGCGAGGCTCAAACCAGATATAAATATGTGATACTGCAAGAATGCGGCAGATAACCCAGTCACCAGAGATAAGAGCACTGAGGAGCCATTTCACATTCGGTCCTTTTTTTTTCTTTTTTAATCTAATAGTGGGAAACTATGTGCAAGATTAAGATTATAAAGCAATAAGAGTTGGAGAGAGCATGAAAGAAATTGGTTAAGTTTAGAGGAAGGTTCCTTCACCTGAGCACGACTGACATTGGGGCCGGGTAATTCTCTGCCCTGTGGGGGACGTTGGGGGACTGTCCCGCGCCTTGAATGATGTTCAGCAGCATCGACATCCCTGGAGGCGATCCGGAGCACCCTCCCTTCAAGTTGTGACAACCAAAAACATCTCCAGAGGTTGCCTAAAGTCTCCCTGGGGAGGGGGAGGGGAGGGGCAAAATCTGTGCACACACACCTCCCTCCACCTTGAGAACCACTGGTTCAGAGAGAGAGAGGGCTCAACATACCATTCAGTCAGTCAGTCACTCAGTCAGTCAGTC